GCCTTTAGGCAGATTTTGTATCTTTAGTTGGTTAGAGATTTCAACTTTGGATCTTTTTGTGAATGCTCTCATACCAAGTTTCAATTTTTTGTTCAGGTTGATTTGGATCTTGAAGATTCACATCCACATGCCAACTAATAGTTCTAAGTTTGTTTGTTTGTTTTGGTTACCAAGAAAAAATAAGAATATGTATGGTTTGATTGTTAGTTTGTTGCAGTTCTTCATTGATTATACGAAAAAAAGACCTCAAGGCTAAAGATTACATTTTTGGATCTTTTTGTGAATACTCACATGCCAAGTATCAATTTTTGTTCATCTTGTTCTTCTTGGTCCTCATATTCTGATTTGTATCTTGAAGATTCACAGCCACATGCCAATTGATGCCTAATAGTAAATATTTTTAATTTTCCTATCAACAGATACTTTTGATAGTCTGATTGTTATCTTCTGTGTTTATACTTTCCTTGAGCCGAGGGTCTATCAATAACAAACTCTACATGAACAAGGTAGGGGTAAGATTTACGTACGCACTGTTCTCACTAGACCCCACTTGTGGGATTACTATGGATATGTTATTGTTGCTATGGATGATAGTCTGATTGTTATTCTGTTGTTGTTTAAGCTTTCCAGATTGATTATGATATATCAATTTGTTACATATTCTTTTTTATCAGTGAGAAGATGAACTTTTGGTAGGTGAATTTGAGGATTGTGTTGCTTTTGCTGCTTGAGTTCTGGTTATTAATTTTGTGGGCATATTTTTGGGAATCAATAACAATGGTTTAAATGTGGAAACACTGGAAACAATATATTTGGCTGGATTACCTCTTCTATACCGTGGATATTTGTTTAGCAACGGTGAATTCTTCAAAAATGTCGATAGATGCGTGTCGTAGGACCCTCTAAAAGTTAGGCATATTTGGAGAATCTAACATGGTGCGGCGATATTTTAGGAGAGTTAGAACAAAATATATTTTGAGTCATCTTATTAGGAATTATTCTGATGTCAATTTTGTCATTTTCAAGGACCACTTTGGTTGATAGTTATATTCTTGATATTATCCCTTCAATTTTCAACTCAAGCACATATTTGAGGTATCAAGGTATAACTTTCTTTGTTATCTATAAACATGCTTTAATTGAGATTTGTATTCATAAGTTAACCCCCCTTCTCTTCTTACTTAATTGAATTACACTTATTGAGGTACCTAATTGTCTTCACTAGTAATTTCCTCATTGCATCTTCTTTATTTTTAAGCGTTGTTTAGTTTCTCTTATCAGTAGTATACTATCGTATCCTTATTCCTGTGAAATATGTTGCTTGAATTCTTCAAAAATATCATTAGGTATATGCCAGATTCTTTAAAAGTAATGCATTGTTTGAGGATTCAATACGAGTGTGACGTTATATTTGGAGAATCCGAACAAACCAGCTTCACATGTTTGGTTCTTTAGTTCTTATCCATCTTTATTAGAACTTTGACATAGCAGTGTCATCAATTCTGATTGCAGACCATAGTTTGTCTGCATCACTCTGTTTTGCAGTAACTTTGATTGCCCGGACTCTTAAAAGATGTTGTCATGTGCGTGTTGGATCCTTCAAAAGTAATACATTTTTTGGAGGATTCGATACAGGTGCAAGAGTCCAAGCAATGCTTTGTAGTCTTTAAAGTTCTGATAAATCTGCAAATTTGTTTTACAATACTTCACACCAGCAGGAGAAATGTCATTCTGCATTGTTTTTTCATATTTCAATGCTTGTTTCTTCTTGGTTGCAGTTCTGAGATAGCATAATACATAAACAAATACTCAAATTTGACCTCAACTGGCGACAAATACTTCAATTTTAAGTATGCATATTTAAACATCTTAACTCACTTTTATTATAAAATGTTTACCTATATATTTTCAAAATTTATGTGTCACGTCAGCATTCTGTGTTAAGTTTCCATATAGAAAATAAAAAGAATACCATATAATAAAGTGAACCTCCCCTAGCCTTAGGCCAGAATTTGCCAAGACAATACTCCTTGACAGCAGAGAAAATCATCCACACAGCTCAATACACCTCTCCACCACTCAATTACTCCAATATTTTAATTCATAAAAAGAAAAACTTTCAAATTTTACCCTCTGAGATATCATTTTAGTATTATTATTATTTTCAATTCGATGTTTGATGTTTGTAATGGAGTTCGATTAAATTCAAATTTATGTCAAGAAATATCAGATTGTGGGATAAATCATATCCGCTAAGACTTTTAATTAAGTGAGAAGGTATTGCCACTTCATCGCAACTCTTATGATGAGAAATTAAAGTATAATATTCAAAATACTATAAATTTGAAAACATTTCATCTTTTCCCTTTATTTTATGATTTTGTAGCCATAAAAATAAAAGTATATATTTAATTTCTTTATAATTAATAAATATCAAGTGAACCCCACAAATGAGCCAATATATCGTTGGCTACAGCTGTATGACATACCAAAGGACAATCAGCCATCCTGTCAGCTAACGGGCAGCATATAAGCCTCAAAAAAATCAATAGTTCAAAATAATTTGCTCAATTGATATATTTGGTCGATCGATTAAAAATAATTACAGTAATTAGATAAATAAAAAATATATACACTATTAGGTATGAATATACAAATTTTATGTATAATGTTTTAAATATGTAATCGACATATCTTTTTGATTATTATTTTGATGAGCGAATAATTATATATATGAAAATTTTGAATTTTTTAAGGCATATATGTAGTTGGACTAACGGTCTCTTCGGGCAGCACTGCCCGTAATATTATACACACATCATTTTGTCTATAAATTTTTGCTTTTTTCTTTCTTTCAACAATTTGTTTGTGAATTGCTATTTTTCTCTCAAAAAATAGTTTAATTTCTTTAAATTTTGCAACAATGGAGGCAATGAAGATGAATGTATTGTTGGTGGTTATGATGGTCGTGTTGGTGGCCTTGTCCGAAATTCAAAATGTAGTTGCAGCGGATGCACCTGCTCCTGCTCCAGCCTCGGATGCTACCCTATTCGTTCCTACCGTTTTTGCCTCTCTTGTAGTTCTTGCATTTGGAATTCTCTTCTGATTGAGCTAGCTTGTGTGGACATCGACTAATGAAGCGTAGTTCTTTATTGAGTCAGACTATATGTGATATGTGTAGATTTATTTATTTTTGGTTATTTCAACTCAATGTGTTAGATCATTGAGATGAGGAGTTTGAGGTTCATTTGATTGTATTTATATCTCATTGTGATATTGTCACTTTGCACATATACTTATGTTGTTATGAATTTATAATATGTGATTTTTACTCTTTAATTTCTCCTTTTCCATCAAACAAAAGCAATATTGGAAACTTGTGGAGTGAAAATTAGTTTTTTCTTTTCACTAATAAGAGTTGGGATGACTCATTTTACTCTAAATTAAATAAACATTATGATGTTACGTTTAAATTCTTCTCAAGGTTGTTATATATAGCAACAGCACTACATATTACAAAAAGAGGAAAAAGATGATTCAAATTCTAAGGCTTTTTGTGAGCTCAAAAGATAATTACATATAAATATATCACAAGAAGTACAATAATTATTAATCAGAAAAGGAAAACAAATAATTTGTGATAAAAAAATTAAAATACATACAGAAGTTTTTCTACATTGTGCTTACAAATTTAATATTTTTTTTAAAAAAAATGGGACTATTATTGGGAATCAATTTGGATATTGCTTTCTTCTACACCTCACATTTTGTCGGTGTAAGTTGTTCGAAGCATGTGGGATTGTCTCTTTTTTCTTTATCTATTTAGTTTTGGTTAGGGACTCTTTTTTTCTTTTTGTCTGAGAGTCTAGTGAAATCAATTTTTACGCTCACAAAAATAAAAAATAAAATCTGCATACAATTTAATCTTTTTTAACTTCACTTGTCAAAATGTATCAAGTGTTATTATTGTAACGTAGGCGTTGGAGGGTGGAAAAGAGATAGTAAGCTTAGAAAATCTCTTATGAAATTTATTTTTCAATAAAAATAATATATTTAGATCTTATTAGTTATGAGAATTGAAAAATCATATCAAACATGCCTACATAATTTAAGTCAAAGTACATAGATATCCGATTTCAAAATCACTATTTAAGCCATGTTTATAGTGCAAACACACCCTCAAGTCCATACCCATTTTGCATGCGGTGTTTGAAGTTTTATATATCAACATTTCAATCTTTTTAACTAAAGTTCAGAAATTTTACGTAAATTTCATGCACATTTGACTGAAGTTCAACCATTTTACTTGAACTTCAATTTTAGGTAACTTTTAAATATTTTTATACTTGAAGTTACATTTTTACCAAGCCTAACTCCAAACACCACATATCTTAACTAGTCCCAATATGAACAAACATGCAAAATTTTCACAAAAATGCTTACATGTTAAATAGCTATGTCCAAATAACATGCCCATCTTTTCATATTCTTCTATTGGGCCCAAAATTCAGTCCATATAGGTAATATCGTTGGGCCAACCCAATTGTTAGATTTTAGTCTATGAAACCCTAAACCCTCTCCATAAAATCATCATATTGTACTCATAATTCAGCAGCAACAATATCACAATACTTCACCAATTCACCTTTGCCTTCTTCTTCTTGTTCTTATGTAATTTATAGCATTTTATGCACTAATTATTTTTACCAATTGCCTCTTTGAGTAGCCATATGGACAAATTTTAGTTTCATATTTTGGCTTAGTTAGGAGGCAGAAACTAAATCTTTTGATGCTTTCAATTAAGGCCTTCTGAAAGAACTCTTTTTTGTTCTTCTTCATCAATTGTCCTTCAAGCATCTTTTGGACACCCACTTCTTCAAATCTTCTAAAGAAAGTTTTCAAAAAAAATAATTATGGTGTTTTTAAAATCCAAAAGGGTATTAGAATTGATTAGTAGTTTTAGTTTTTGCCTCAAAGATTCAATCTTTGGTTCTTCATGTAAATTTTTTTTAAAAAAAATAATCCAATGATGATGTTGTTGATAAAATCCAAAAGGGTATATGAATTGAGTGTTAGTTATTATTTTTTGCCTCAAAAGATTCGATCTTTGGATCTTTTTCACTTTGTTCTTCTTTATTAATTTTTGCCTCAAGAATTCCCTAATGAGTTATTGAAAAATTCATTAGGTTCAGACAGGGGCATATAGTAATATTTTGAGGATTAAATCTTGAGCTGAAAAGTTTAAAGATTTGTTCTTTAATGAATTTAAGTTTGAGAGGTTTGAATTGTTTCTTTCCTCTCATCTGTTCCTTTTCTATAGGTTCTTTCAAACATTCAATAAATTTAAACATTGGATCTTTATAATATTTGTTGAGTTTACATTAATGTTTTGATTTGTGATGAGGCAGATGATGATTTATTATTATTTCGACTGATCAAACTTTGATGATCCAAAATTCGAGCTTTTTAAAACTGATGCCTCCCATTTTTATAATTCTTTTTAGTCTTTAGGAACTAAGATTTAGTTTAACTTAATTCGATATAACTATCGAGTATAGCTTAGCCTTTATTCGGCCTAAAGCTAATTAAAGCTATATTTATATAAATATCGAGTGCTGTTAAGTATTTAATGACTCAAGCCAAGTATATATATATCTTGAGGCAGATGATGAATTATAATTATTTGGACTGATCAAACTGTGATGATCCAAAATTCGAGCTTTTTAAAACTGATGCCTCCCATTTTTATAATTCTTTTTAGTCTTTAGGAACTAAGATTTAGTTTAACTTAATTCGATATAACTATCGAGTATAGCTTAGCCTTTATTCGGCCTAAAGCTAATTAAAGCTATATTTATATAAATATCGAGTGCTGTTAAGTATTTAATGACTCAAGCCAAGTATATATATATCTTGAGGCAGATGATGAATTATAATTATTTGGACTGATCAAACTGTGATGATCCAAAATTCGAGCTTTTTAAAACTGATGCCTCCAATTGCCTTGAGGTTTTAACCTATAAAAGATATTGAGAATTATACGCCTTGATAACCATCCTCTAAACCAAATGAATTGAGTGATGTGCTCAACTTGTGTTATAATAGTATTATTATATCCCTATTTTTTGTGATATTACAACATCATGTCTTAGTTTTTGAAGCTAGAGACTCGGTATAGTTAATTTTCTACCTATAAACATTGAATATGATTAAATATTTAATTGACTTAGGGGAGCTTTGATCAAGCTAAATTATTGTAGGGAAATAATTTAATTGGTAGGTCACTAGTCACTATTCAAATAAATATCATTTTATACTGAATTTGTTTGACTAGTTCAATCAATCCCTTTCTTTACTTCTACGAATATATAATAAAAATAAAATATCTACCCAACTTGGTTGAAACATCTTAATTTAAATCAGTTTATCCTTAATATTGGTTTACTCAGTCTCCACTAATAGCAACAATTGTTTACTAGTTATATTTTATATAACTTGGACTATCAGGGTATATAACTTAAATTTCGTTTAAAAAAGACAAGGCGCAAAAAACATACAAAAACACACATGAAATTCACCACAAAATTTAACATTCATGGGATAATATTGCATTTATCTTAACCATACACCAATTTCTCATAATAGAAGACTTTACTATAAGCTCTGTAGAATCTTGGAATTATTTACAACATTATAATAAAAATCCTATATTTATGTACTAGAGTTTGATAGCACAAAGTTAACCGACACTCTCCAGATACCGTCATTGCTTCTTCTTTGGAAAAAAGAAGTTTACGATCCATGGACCGAACATTTAAAGAGCATCATAGTAACCTCCAACTGTAATGTGTGCTCTTGTAACTGGAACTCCTCTCACTGCTGAAATTGCTTCATTCAATCTTGTTGCATGTTGAACTACACGCTTGATCCTCTGCATTAATCCCAGAAAAAAAAATAGGTTTCTTAGACCGGGTTCACTAAATATTAGTAACAACAACAATAACATACCTAATGACGTTGGAACAATCATTATAGTATGATGATAACACTTGATTAGCAAAAAAAATTCATGCTTTCCTCCTGGGGACCTTGGAAAGTAAAGAGGTTGTTTTTGATCTACTAAATATAAGTTCTAGTAAGGGAATGATAAGAATGTGTAGACCTGATTTCTTTTTATGGATCAATCACGAATAGGGAGCAGAATCATACCGAGGGTTGGAGTTAGGAGGTGTGGAAGCCCCCTTCCTGACCTAAATCTGCCTTAGGGATCGGGGTCAGGAGGCGAACGGGATCCAAAGCTGTCCGATAGGTAGACTATTAGATTGAGTCAAAAGTCTACCAACACATAAAGGTTCTAATTTGAGTGGGAGCCCAAACAAGTGAGCCAAGAAGATCTTGATTGAAAGCTCCACTATTCTACACAGTGAGAGAATACAATTCAATCAAATCAATCAAGAATCTCATCCTATGTTAAGTGGGCTAACCAAATAGAATAAAAGGTTTGATTCCTATCATAGCCAGGAGGTCTAAGGTTCAAGTCTCTCAAGACACCTATTTGGTTTCAGGCCATTTGCTTACTCTAAAACAACTTTTAAATGCGCGATCCTATCTAAAAGCTTAAACAATTAGAAAACATTCTATAATATCAACCAAGATAATAAATTTAATTGAAAAATATGCCAAACCTTATCATCAGTAAAGATTTGGAACCTAATCTTCTGATTCTGCTTATGTTTTTGGTGATTACCAATAAATATGATGCAAATAGTAGCAGCAGCAGCAACACCAAAAGAACAAATAGCACCAATACCATTTAAACTCTTGTTCAACAAGTTCAATCCACTATTACCATTTTCTTCAATTTTCTTATCTTTTTCAACCTCAAAATCCTCTGTTTTCTCCTCAAATTGTGACAAAAGACTCTTGTTAATAGACTTTGGTGAGTCCATTTTCATGTTGTCAAATTCATTTTCCTTCATTTTCTTGAAAAAAACTTGTGCGAATTGATCATGATGTTCACCAAAGTTTGGAACTTTAAGCTCAAGAGGGACTTTAGTAATGACTTCTATGGGAATAATAACCTTTTCTTGATCATTTGAGGTTTCTTGAAAAGTTGGATCCAAAGGGACTAATTGATGTGTTGTGTCAACAAATTGAGATGATTTTGGAGATGGACAAATGAAATAATTCATGTTGAATTCATTCTTGGAATTATCAGATGAATATTTTCTTGAAAATATCATTTTTCCATCATCATCATGGATTTGAAGGAATCCATCATCAGGAAGAATCTCCCACTCTTCAAGATCCATTTTTTAAGAAAAAAAAATCTAAGGAAG